TTATTAGGAAGAAACGGGGTGGGGGTCGGGTGGGGAGGTGTGGGGGGGTGTGGAGGTGTGAGGGTGGGGGGGGGTAGGGGGGTGGAGGAAGAACCAGGCCTGGGAAAGAGCACGTGTAGAGGTCAGAGAGAAAGATGGGGATAGGGAGAGAGCAGAGCAGAGAGAGAGGGTGGGGTCTGTGTCTGGCTTTTTAAGGGCTCCTGGTGAAGTGGGCTTATGGAGCTACACCACGCGTGCGCTGATTGCGTGCCCACACCGCTGGCCTGTAGTCGCCAGCACACACTGATGACGTGAGACGCAAGACTCTTTGCTTAACTCCTGAACTGCGCGTGTGCGGTCATGTAGCTGGAGTAAGGGCAGAATTCCAACATATATATAGTACAATATAACAATGACTTGAAAGTAGAAAATCAGGGCGCTGGGGGTGTCGCTCAGTTGAGAGAGTGTTTGCCTAGCATGTGCAAAGCCCCGCGGTCAGTGCTCAGCACCCCAGAAATCAGGCATGGTGGCACACACCCATTATCCTAGCACTAGAGATGGAGGAGGTAGAAGCAGGTAGATCAGATGTTCAGGGTTATCCTTGGCTATATAATGAGTATAAGGCCAGCCTAGGCTATACTTATGTACACCCATCTTAAAAAAAAAAAAAGCAGAAAATAAGAACCCAAACCAATAACCTTCAGTTAAGTAACCCACCCTCTCTCCCTCATGCTCTTTCCTGGGCCACTCAACCTTCCGGATCTCAGCCACAGGGTCATCTTTTACTTCTCTCTGCCAAGGGCCTTCTTCACATCGTCCCATCCTTCCTATTCTAGTCCCGTGGCTACCGCCTAAGGTCAGCGGCTCCTTCCCAGTGCTCTTCTGGCCAGATTGCGTCACCAAAGCTCTGGTGTGTGGCCAGTTTCCTGTTCAGAGGCCATCCGTGGGTTTCCATCCTCTACACGACAATGGCGAAAGTCCTGGGCCTGGCCTGCCACAACCCAGCTCAGCACACAGTTCCAGCTTTATCCCTTGCTAATCCCCTTCACCGCTCTGGGTTTCAGCGGAACAGAATCAATCACCCATTCTCCCCGCCCACACCTCGCTCTAGGCCTCTGCTAAGCTGAACATGGTTTCTGGGCATCTGATTGCAGCCAGGATCCCTGTTGGCACAGAGCCCAGCTCTTGGCTAATGGTTTTGTGTTGGCTTGATTTCTCCGAGTGCTTTATTTAGGAACATAACCCCAAGGGTTAGGGTAAGGAAAGTGAAACAGGGGTGAAGGGAGGACCAGGACAAAGACCTGCCCTCCAGTCTACTCTACTAACTCTGGTTACTTCACCTGTGGGATCTTCTAAGAGGCCTTGGGAAACCTGTCTGAAAGGCATCTATCCGGTGACAGATCAGTATGCCTGTCCCCTTTCCCATGGGTTACAAGTTGGCCTATGGAGTCCTGGAAATATATATTCAAAACATGCAATAAATAACAACTTTACGCGGACTAGTGAAAAACTGGAATCAACCCAAACCCAAACATCCATCAAGAAGAAAATGGCCAGAGACATTGTGCTGGACTATTACCATGGAGAACCGCCCACCATCCAAAGGACAAAGCGTTGCAATACACGAGAGCTCCCATGAGCCTTGCAGACACAACGTTAAATAGAAGAAGCCAAATACTGAAAAGTGTGTGCACGGTCCCATTTACATGTGGTTCAGAACCAGGACTCATCTATGGTGACAGGGGCAGGCAAATGCTTACACCTGGCAGGAGAATACTGATGGAAGAGGCTGTATGTTATTATTTTGTGTGGATTTGGCGATGGAGCCAAAGGCCTCATGCACACTAGGCGAGCTCCCTGCCACTGAGCTGTATGCTCAACTCAGTTTTCAACATTTACTTTAAGGCAAGGTCTTACTAAGTTTCTCAGGCAGGTATTTAACTCACGCTAGTCCAGACCAATCTTGAACTGGCAATCCTCATGTGTCAGCTTCCAGAGATGTTCCTTGCACACTGTCTGTCCTTGCGCAACATGCAGAACTTGTGGAATCCTCTCAGAACCCCACAGATGGCATGACGAAGATGTGTGTGTAGATGCATGTGCACGTGTATGTACATTCATTTGGAGGCCAGAGGACAATCTCGGGTGGCATCTTCAGGGACGTCGTCTATTTCCTTTGAGACAGGATCTCTCATTGGCCTGGAGCTCACCAATTAGGCTGTCCAATCAGTTCCAAGGATCCTTCTGTCTTTGTCTCCTCAGCTCTGGGGTTGCAAGCACATACCACCACACCTGCCATTTTCTTGTGGGTCCTGGGGATCAGGCTTCAGTGCTCCTCATCTTGGAGGCAAGTATTCCACCCACCAAGCCATCTCCCTAGTCCTGCACGAAGGTTTTTTTTTTAAGTGAAAATATTGGGGGTCGGACAATATCATATCCTAATTTCCCTGGTTAAAACAGAGCCCCTTAAAAAATACAGGGTTAGCACAATTTCCTGCTAATCTGTCTGCCTTGGAGACAGACTGTCCAACCCGTGAGCATAACAAAGCTCACAGCTGCTTTCACCATTTTCCCATTGCAGCCCAAAGCTCCGTGCCCTTTGCTAAGGTTGGTGTGTAAACATTTTGCTCTGGCTGTTCAGGGAGCTGCTTATAATGAGCACACCCAAGTGCACTTGTAATTAAAGTCTGACCCTTTCTTAGGTGATATGCAAGCCCCAACTCCGAGACCCAAGTTGGGAGAAGGAGAAGGTATCTACACAAGAAACCCAGACCAACTCAGCTGTGGCCTGTGGAGCTAAGGGTCAGCTCCATGTCTGGCACATAGACAGCTTTGTATTTCCAGGACATTTTATGCTGAGTCAGTTAGGCCCTTGTCCCAATCACCCCCACAATATGCCCTGGTTTTGTTGGGGGCGGGCAGAGGATGGGGGAGCAGAACCTAAGTGGTGCTGATGGCTCTGGATCCTTCCTGATGTCCAGGATGAGTCTGCACTGGTCCCTGACTCCACCCTGGCGTCTCACAGCGATCGAGTTGGATTGATCTCGGGTGCTACTTTCAAAACACGTCACTAATCAGAGAGCTTTCACAGGCCTTCCCTTCCCCAGCATCCCACGGCAGGTCTACGCTGGGGCAAAAGCCACCTAACTCCTAGTCTTCACGCTGTTCTCAGCCCAGCTGCCAGGGTTCCCACTGCCTGCCCTTCTAAAACCCGAGTTCGGACCCATCACTCTGCTCAGAGCTCTCCAGGGACACCTTCCAGCTCTCTTGCTTGCCAAGTTAAAAGTGACAGGGTGCCATTGTCTTAGACAAGGCTCCCGAGCGAGGCAGGCAGACCAAATGAAGTCACGTTAGTTTCACATCCCTGAAACTACGTTATCTGAACTTAGAAATCAGAAGAGGTCAATTGCCCGCTTTTGAGAACAGGTGAGGAAATTCTTTCTGTTTAACTCTTACCAAAAAACCAAACCAAACCAAACAAAGAAAAAGAGGCCTGATATTAGCCAGTAATTAATTCATTGTTTATTTCCCTGTTCACACCTTACCGGGAAAGTAGCTTTGACGTCACCAAGTCTCTATTTGTTTTCCTTTTTCCTTTTTCTTGCAGTGCTGGGGGTGACCCCCATCCAGCCCCTGTCCCCCCACTTTTTTGTTCTCATCTGTTCTTTATTGCTCTTTGTCAGCTCAGCTCACCAGAAGGAAAGCTCATTCTGTTTTGTGGGACGAAGCCACTGAAACTCTGTTGTAATTTGTGTTTTGATAGAGGAAAGCCTCGGCTAGCCCGGAGATCCCCATCACCCTCCCCGGCCATTCTGCCGTCCCCACGGCCACGTCTTCAACTCCTGTGACTCCAGTGGCTCTTCGGTGCCCACAAACCTTCCCGCTTTGACCTTTCTCTACCTGTTCCTACCGCCTCTCCTCACTTGTTCTTCAGTGCTGCAACCTGCATGTGCGCACACGCACACACACACACACACACACACACACACACACACACACACACACATCCCGCGTACACCCCGGTGCTCTCCATTGCTCACAAATCCACCTATTGTGGCAGCGTTTGCTGCTTACCCTCTTCAGGAGTTAGCTCCCGAGGGCAGGCTCTGTCTGTTTTCCCCTATGATAATGTTATCTCAAGAGCGGAGAACAATGTCTGGCATCTGGAAGCATCTGCTCGCTAATGTCGTGACACTTGTGCCCACTCAGGGTGAGCGCTGAGCTGGGCTGCAGAGATGGTCCAAGAACTTTCTAGTGAAGTTTGTGATGGCCCTCGGAGGCACCAGCCATCAGCCCAGGCTTGGAAGTGACCCTGGATACAGAAGAAACTGAAGATCTTCTTAGGGGTTTGTTTGTTTGTTTTCTCTTTATGCACAAGTATGTAGAGCTGTTGATGGTTTCAAGTGAAAAGGAAACGGAGTGGGGGAATTCCTTGTTGGGGTGAAAAATCTACTTGTCAGTAGATTAAGCTCAGAGGCAGGGAGGGACCTACCTGCCCCTGGAATGAGGAAGCCCCTGGCCCAGCAGGGGTGCGGCAGGAGAGGGGAGGAGTGTCTTACTGCTGTGTTCCCTCCATCGACTTGATGGGAGAGTTTCACAAGGGGTCATGGCTAAGGAGAGTTTCACACGGGGTCATGGCGACTGGGCGAGGTCTCCGGAAGTCCAGGTCGCTACAGCGACCCGCTCCTCTCTCCGCCTGTTCAAAGGGTGGAGAGCTGAGTTGGAGTGGGGAAATGGAAGAGGCTCCACCGACGCACCGTGTTCCTGGGACTGGTCCCAAGACGCTCAACTCCAAGTGGCAAGTTGCTCCACACAGACGCCATCAGCCCCTTCTGAAGAGGCTAACATATCCCAAGATGACAACCCTTCCTCCTAGGTCTCACAGCCTGTCACCTCAGTATGGAGTACAGTTCTAGATGACAGTGTCCCATATCCAGCAGCAAATCCTGGACTGCCAGGCCGAAGAGCCCTCAGAGCTCTTCTTGACTAAGGCCCAGAGTGGGCAAGCTCCTTGTCTAAGATCGCACAGTTTCTGACCCACCATGAAGGGCAGAGCTGGAAACAGGACAGATATTTTGATACAGCTTTAAACTTCTTCCTAGTTCCTACTTTTGTGATTCTGTGACACCCACCACGTCTGCTCCGTCACAGGCTACTTTCATCCAAAAGCACTTACTTAAAATTCCCAAGGAACCTTGTTTGGCCACAGGTTCTGTTTCAGGGGAGGCACATTGGAAATTACAGTCTGTAACTCCACTCCTAAGTGTCCCTACTCAGCTCTCTCACGTTGGCACCCCTCCCCAGGCCCTTGGACTCAGAGGAGCATGGCACCCTCCACGTCCTGGCACCTGAAGCCTGGCTAGGGACACAGGTCCTGGCTTTGACGTGGCTACAAAATCTCAGGATGTTGAAAATAGATATTAGAAGTGAGAGTCCTGCCCCCACACTGGAACATTGTCCCCTTGAGACCCCAGAAACACTCACATCTACTGGTCGGGGATGGGGGTTCCCACTTATATCTTGAGCACCTGAGATGTATGTATGTTCTATGAGCACCAACCAAGTACAGGAAAGACTCTAAGAACTTCAATAGCCTCCTGAGTCAGACAGCATGCCCATTTTACAGATGAAAAAAGTTGAGGCTCAGAAAGGTTCTCTCATTTGCTCTTGATCCCTAGAACTAATAAAATCTAGGCCCAGCAGAAAAACTCAGGTCCTATCCATGAAACCCAGACCCCAGGTAAGGATGAGTGGGGTAAACATCATCTCTCCCACGCCCTTCCCAGTTTTAGGGGAGGATATCAGAACAGAAATGAGGCTGTATTTTCAAATCAGAGAGGCAAGGCTGCCAGGCAAGGGGGCGGGGGAGGAAGCAAGCCTGTGTCAGCCCTCACTGCGCGTCTGTGTTCACCTGGCTGCATTCTGGAACCTACCGGGTCACACCTGAGCAGGCGGCTGCCCCTCCTCCCTGGGTTGAGGAAGCAGGAAAGGGTGGTGAGGAGAGGCAGCAGGCAGGTCTGCCAGGCAGCGGTGGTCAGTGCCCAGGCAGGATGGGCTTTGTCTGGGTCCTAGCTGTGCCTCTCCTTTTCTCCTGCTGGAAGGCTGGAGTCACTGCCAGCTCTGCAGGTAAGGGACAGGACGGGAGCTGGGAGTCTTCCCTGGCAGGGCTCTGGGTGTGAGTTTTGGCAAAGACAGCCCTTTGTGGGTAAGGGGAGGCATTTTTGTTCATTGTAATTAAAGGCCTGCTGAATGTAAAATAACGATGGCTGTGGACGAGTGTGCAGGATGACAGATGTGTTAAGCATGGTGACACCGTGGCCATCAATGTAAGAGAGTCTGGGAGTTAGTCTTCAGGCACGGGACGGTGGGGTGGGAGGGTAGAGGGGTCAGGGAGATGCCAGCTGGTGATAATTTTGCTGTGAACTGAAAAATACGGCCTAGAGAAGCTCCTGTTCATCCAAGGTTGTGTCCTAGCCCAGTTATTCTTTGAAATTTGCCTTTTGAATAAAAAGTTTGTCACAAACTGCTTGGACAAGGAGATTCTGAGAGAGGTGGGCTTTTCTGAAAGATGGGAGCTAACACGGACCTGTCACTGACAGGCACTGTACCAAACTCATCACACACACTTTTTATTTTTTCACACACACTTTAAAATAGATGTTTTCGGGCTGGAGAGATGGCTCAGAGATTAAGAGCACTGACTGCCCGTCCAGAGGTCCTGAGTTCAATTCCCCGAACCCACATAGTGGCTCATAACCATCTGTAATGAGATCTGGCACCCTCTTCTGTATACATAATAAATAAATAATTCTTTTAAAAAAAATAAACGTTTTCCAGAGCAAGCAAGACTGAGCAGAGGGTACGGAGACATCTCATCTACCCTGTCCCTGCCACTTATGGTTCCCTGCTGTGCATGTCCCCACAGCATCAGCACTGTTACAGTGGTGACCCACACTGACACGTCACACTAGACAGGACCTTTTAATTCTACTTATTTATTTATTGGCCGGGTCTCCCTATGCAGGGCCCTGGCTGCCTGGAACTTGCCATATAGACTTTATATTTATTTATTTACTTATTTTCCCTTTTCTCTGTGTGTGAGAGCGAATGTTTTTACATAAGTATGGATTCACATGTGTGTGTGGCTGTGTGTGAACATTGTGTGCATTGTGTGTGGAGGCCCGAGGCTGACTTTTGGGAATCATCCTTGAAGGCTCTTTCATCTTATTTCTTGAGACAGGGACTTTCAATCAAACCCAGAGCTCATCGATATAGTGAGGGAGAGAGGGAGAGAGGGAGAGAGGGAGAGAGGGAGAGAGGGAGAGAGAGAGAGAGAGAGAGAGAGAGAGAGAGAGAGAGAGAGAGAGAGAGAGAGAGAACCTGATACATGTGGAGGTCAGATGAGAGTGTGGGGATTAAGCGCAGGTCATCAAGCTTGGTGGCAAGCACCTCTACCCACTTGAGCTATCCGGCTGGTCCAACATTACTTTTTAAATTCTCATGACTCTAATGACTGAGAATTCACCTCTAAGACACTGCCACCCATTTAAGAGCAAGGAGCCTGCAGTTTATATGGAGTAATTTATCCCCGGAGTCACCATGCCCTGCCAGTGCCTAACCCCTGGACCACCCTGCCTGCCGCACACACTCACAATTGGCCAGGCTTTTGCTGCATTTTTCACTCCGTTTAATTGCAACCTTACAGCCTCATGAACCAGGTGCCCCTCACTCCATTTGGAGCCCAGAGACTTGGCCTGTGTCACAGCACAACAAGGAGCAGAGATGGGACTCACATCTGGCTCTATGCCCACAGTCTCCTCACCCCCACTTTGGAGGTATGGAGGAGGACTGCAGCACCATCCTATGACCCGGACTGGGTTCTGTGGACCAGGAGGCCCAGAGAAATAGCTCGGGCCGGGGAGTCGGGGAGGTCTGTGAAGAAGGCCATCAGCAGCTCCCACAGATATGTGCGGGCATGCTGTTGGGTTGACTGAGTGAGCACAGAGAGGATATGTGTGCAAGCATGCCCAGCTAATCACTCTCCTTACCCAAGTGAGCTGTCCACAGCTCCCTGACTGCTTGCTTTCCTAGGACACGTTAAATTCAGACTGAGGGTTCCTCTCCCTTATCTTACCAGTTACCTCTAAAGATGAGACTGTAAGTCATTCTTGAATTTTAAGGAAATACATCCATGGGAAAATATTTTTGCGGTGACCGAACTGCCCATGGAGGGGTGACAAAGTTCCTACAGAAAGTTCTGGAAGTCTTCATTCCTGTTCTGCAGTCCTTGGCTCATGTGGATTTGTGTCTCCTATGTCCACCCTTGATGGTACAGTGCTGTACTGCATACCAATGATCAGCTGGGTCCTGGGGCTGCCTGGCTATTGCAGTCTTTAAGAGATCCTGTTCCAAGACCACACCCAGGGTATGCAAAAAAAAAAAAAAAAATCCACGAATGTGGCGAGGGCTAAAATTTTTCTATCTGAGGGGAATTAGGAAAGAAACACACACACACATTCTGATGGTAACTTTCTCTTCTACTTCATCTTGAAAAATCTCTTCCTGAAAATCTCTCTGTCTCCACACAGCTACATCTCTTTATACAGCTACATCTCTGCACACAGCTACATATCTCTTCTACACAGCTACACATCTCCCTTCTACACATCTCTCTCACAGAAAAAAAAAAAACTCTGGACAATATATGAGTTACATTTTGAGGGTCAGAGCCATTTTGATAACACGAGAAATCACATGGTTTCTCTCAGGCTAGGGATGTCACACTGACTGGCCAGTGAGTGAGTAACCATGGCAACACTGGGCTGTCAACCAGGCTCCCTGTAAATTGAAGGCGGTAGGCACATAGTGTCCAGTGCTCAGTGTTTCCTGATGGAGAGTGACATTGAAATTCATTTGAAATTCAAGACTTAAACAACAAACAGTTAGTTGGCTGAACCTTGAGTCCTGCATCGTAAAACTGATGTTAGGGGTACATGCAGAAAGTCAGTTGTTGAGAGGGTCTGTGCAGGGAGTTATGTCTTTAATGTCATCAGCCAGACCTTTGCAAGAGAAGAGCTGGCACTAAAGTTGCTTCATGCCTGACCTTGGTTCAACAGACTCCTGGGAATCTGTCCTTGTGCAATTCATTTGCAGGGGCGACTAGTCTGCTTTGAATTTGTTTTAAGGTCTTAAATCAACTGTAAGAAGCTGTCTTTGCACCTGAGAATACTGTTATTTTCCTCTGTCAGTCTGAGCTATGATAAATATCCTAGTATTATTCCTATTCATCAAAATTACACAGTTTAAGAAGAGATCATCTTCCTGACCATCTACAGATATATGTGTGCCCAGTAGATGGAATATATACATGAGATAAACACACAGGCAGTGAGGAAAATAACCATAGCTGTTTTTAGGGAAGAAATGTAGTGGCACATGAGAAAAAATTACAGACAAAAACAAAAACAACTAGTTTTCAGAGTCTGTGGTCCCGGAAGCCTTGCTTGATGAGGTTTCTCCATCACAGAGTTATTCATCTGGTGGGTCGACACCTGAATTATTAATTATCATCTGTTTTATTTATGTCATGGCCCATGACACCTGGCCTCAAGGGGATTATCAGGTGTAGACGAATCTTAAAAGGTCTTATTAATAAAAAACAAACCCGGAGCCAGGTATTGGGGTGAATGTCGGAAGATCAGAGAAACAGAACAAGCCACATCCAACCTCACCTTGCCAATTCCTCAGCTGATCTTGTTTCCTCAGACTGAAGCCTCTGAGTCCTCATTTGAATGGATCTCAGCTGAACTGCTGCTAAAAGCTAAAAGCTTAAAAAGGGTCTAGTTCCTGGTCCTCACGCCTTATATACCTTTCTGCTTCCTGCCATCACTTCCTGGGATTAAAGGCGTGTGTCACCATGCCTGGCTGTTCCCAGTGTGGCTTTGAACTCACAGAGATCCAGACAGATCTCTGCCTCTGGAATACTAGGATTAAAGGGGTGTGTGTGTGTGTGTGTGTGTGCCAGCCACCATTTTCTGGTCTCTGTGTCTATCTAGTGGCTGTTCTGTTCTCTGACCCCAGATAAGTTTATTAGAGTGCACAATATATTGGGGGACACAATATCACCACAATCAGGATTTCAGAGGGCACTGGTCAGGGCAGCCTGTCTTCAGAGCTGCTATGAAGGTCATGGCTTTTCCGAGTTGCTTTTTTCATCTTTGTTTACATAGACAATGACCCTCTGTGCCATCCAGTAGCACCCAGGGCATAAATCCAAATGCTCATGTGAAGTCAGCCTATCGGGACTCACCAAGCTGTTCTCACCCAACACAGCCCTGAGCAGCGGCAGTTCAGCCCCTTTGATGACAACCAACAACACGGAAGTGCCTGCCTTTACTCAAAGGGACAGGCCCAGCTCAGAGGGGGCTTTCCAGACCACTCACCTGACTCAGGATGTTCCTCTAGACGCTTTAACTCTGAGCACTGAAACTGCTTCTAGTACCTTAACTGCAACCAGTACCAGTTCAGAAGTCAATTCCAGGGACACCCAGACCATCTCTCCTGTAACAGAGACTGGGAAGACACAGACTACCTCCCTTACAGCATCAACCCTGGATATTCACACCACCTCCCCTGCAACATCAACCCTAGATATTCACACCACCTCCCCTACAGCATCAACCCTGGATATTCACACCACCTCCCCTACAGCATCAACCCTGGATATTCACACCACCTCCCCTACAGCATCAACCCTGGATATTCACACCACCTCTCCTGCAATATCAACCCTAGATATTCAGACCACCTCCCCTACAGCATCAACCCTGGATATTCACACCACCTCTCCTGCAATATCAACCCTAGATATTCAGAACACCTCCCCTACAGCATCAACCCTGTATATTCACACCACCTCCCCTACATCATCAACCCTGGATATTCACACCACCTCCCCTATATCATCAACCCTAGATATTCAGACCACCTCCCCTACAGCATCAACCCTAGATATTCAGACCACCTCCCCTACAGCATCAACCCTAGATATTCAGACCACCTCCCCTACATCATCAACCCTAGATATTCAGACCACCTCCCCTACATCATCAACCCTGGATATTCAGACCACCTCCCCTACATCACCAACCCTGGATATCCACACCACCTCCCCTACATCACCAACCCTGGATATTCACACCACCTCCCCTACATCATCAACCCTAGATATTCAGACCACCTCCCCTACATCATCAACCCTGGATATCCACACCACCTCCCCTACATCACCAACCCTGGATATTCAGACCACCTCCCCTACATCACCAACCCTAAATATTCAGACCACCTCCCCTGTAGCATCAACCCTGGAGACCCAGACCTCTTCCCCTGCAGCATCAACCCTGGAGACCCAGACTTCTTCCCTCTTAGTATTTACCATCGATACACAGGCCACTTCTCCTGCAGCATCAACCCTAAATACTCAGACCACCTCCCCTGCAACATCCACCCTGGAGACCCAGACCACTTTCCCTGCGACAGAGGCCCTAGAGAACCAGACTATTTTCCCTATTGATTTGACCCTAAAAACCCAGACCGTTTCCTCTGTAACAGAGACCAGAACTCTTGCAATAAGAGTACCTTCCAACTTCATGGTCATGCATCCCATCCCTACGGACACTTCGGCTACACAGGGCAGCCCCAGAACCGGAATGAGCACTGTCAAGACTGGCACACTGAGTGATCCCATAGGAGCCATCATTGGCACCCTTTGTATTGATGACAGCTCGGAAGAGGCGAGGAAGATCACAATTGACCTCTTAACCTTGGCACACACCTCCACAGAAGCTGAACACCTGTCCTCAGACAGCAGCTCCTCCTCAGACAGCTCAGCTGGCGTCCTCACCAGCTCACAGGTCCTGGGATCCGATATTGCAACTCCAGCCAAGGACTTGGTTGCCTTCAGCATCACCCAGATTAAGCTCACCACCTGCATCACAGAAATAGAAACATCTGTCGTCACCTCAGACACTAACAACGGCCCTACGGGAGCGACAGCCTTGTCCACTTCTGAGACGCTCACTTTGCCTCAATCCCCCGAGGCAAAACCACTTAGCCCCAAGACCACAAGCTCACCCGGGACCCCATCAACAGCTGGCACCTCAACCCTTGCCACCACCCTTGAGGGCACGCCCCCTATTAGTGGCGTCACAGAAAGAGAATCAACAGTGGCTCAGGCTCCTACCTCCAGAGTCACTTCAGGGACAGTCAGTACGAACCCACTGAAAGAGACCTCAGCACTCTCGACAGTGACACAATGGCACCCTGAGGTCTCGGGAACAACTACCGTCTCCAGGGCTACTGGGTCAACGGATGGGACAAGCAACCTCCTTCACTAGCTCCTCAACTTCAGACAACAGTCCCTCAGCAGGGGTCACCACCAAGAGCTCTACTACCTCAGAGACTTTAACCAGCAGCTCCTTAGCCAAGACCACGGCCTCACCAAAGACCTCAATGGAGCCCCTAACATCTACACCCACTGCTGCTTGGACAAGGACCACAAAACACGAACCAGGTGAGTGAACCTTTCATGTGTGATCTTTGCAGATTTAGGTTTGGAGTATTTGTAAGGAGTCAGGAGGAAGGAAGGAGCTCAAGGCTGGTGTTGCACCCTCTCCCTGCCAGTCACATCTCCTGGTGGGTTGGTAACAGGCAGTTAAGATGTGTATGTGATGTAGTGATGTGTGTGTGTGATGCAGTGATGTGTGTGATGTAATATGTGTGTGTGTGATGTGGTGATGTGTGTGTGATGTAGTGATGTGTATGTGATGTGGTGATATGTATGTGATGTAATGATGTGTGTGTGATGGAGTGATGTGTATGTGATGTAGTGATGTGTATGTGATGTAATGATGTGTATGTGATGTAGTGATATGTATGATGTAGTGATGTGTATGTGATGTAGTGATATGTATGATGTAGTGATGAGTATGTGATGTAGTGATGTGTATGTGATGTAGTGATGTGTATGTGATGTAGTGATGTGTATGTGATGTAGTGATGTGTATGATGTAGTGATGTGTATGTGATGTAGTGATGTGTATGTGATGTAGTGATGAGTATGTGATGTAGTGTTGTATATGTGATAAGTGTGAAGCAGGGTTTTTGAGAAGTGGTTGAGATCTTGGCTCTGTTTTAACCTGAGAGACCTTGAACCTGTCCCCATCCTCCGAGCCTAAGTTTCTTCCCCTTGGCTGGGGGAAGGGGCTGCATGGTCACCATCTGGATGAGCACCATCTTTTCCAGATCTAACTTAGTTAACTATTGAGCAACTACTGTGCTTCAGGTGAGATCTGAAATGTTACTGAAAACACTTGGCCCTTAAGCCAGCCATGCCCACAGAAGGGAAGAACATGGACAAGCAACTTGTCCAAATTGCTGCCACGTGAGCATGCGGAGGGCACGAAGTGGGGCTTGTTCTGCACCGTAAAGAGCGACTGTAGGCAAACCAGCAAAACAACATTTGGGGAGTTTAGGTCTTAATTTCTGAGCCAACAGAAGCCTCTCAGGGGACCCACTGTCAGCGGCTCTGTGGTAAGAACAGCTTGTGGGCAGCCCGGAGCATCTGCCTCTGCTGCTTGTTCTGTCCTTCTGGTCCATTCCTGAGTATTTTGTCTGGTCCCACCTGCTGGGGCAGGGGAAATAAAAATACTAACCATGAGGTGAGGATACAGCTCAGTGATAGAGCACTCGACACTGGTGAGTGTGCCCGAGACCCTACATTCGACCCCAAGCCCTGAAAAATCCCAGCCTCTGTCATCTCTGTGTCTCTCTGTCTCCTCCATCTGTGTACATCTGTCGTCTCCACCTCCATCTTGGTCTCGGTCTGTGTCTCTTACCTCTGTCTCTGCCTTCTCTATCTCTTTCTGTGTCCATCTCTACCAGTATCATCTTTTATCTTGATCTCTACCATCTCTCTATCTCTTTATCATCTCTGTCAACTATCTCTATCTATCATCTATGTTCAGGCATGATATCACAGGCCTGCAACCCAGTACTCAGGAAGGAGAAACAAAAGGACTGTGAGTTTGAAGCCAGCTTGATCTACATAGTAAGACCCTCTGGGGAAAAAAAAACCAGAACCAACCCAAAACAAAAATTAAAACAGAAAAATATTTAGCCACAACCATGTTATTGAATATCTTTTATATTCTAGGCAAAAATAATATAAAAACACTTCACAATCAACAGGCAGAACCCAAAAATGGACTCACCAGATATTCTATCTCTGTTGCTGTGATGACCACCATGACCAAAATCAACTTGGGCAGGAGAGGGTTTATTTGCCCACAGGCCAATCTGATGGAGGCAATTCCTCAGTGGGATTCCCTCTTCCCAGGAGTGTGTAGGTCTGTGTCAAGTTGACGAAAGCTGCTGTAACCCCAGAGGAAGGTGAATGAGTCTACTTGGCACAGGGGTAGACACCACTGATTGGATAGTTGTTGTCATGAGCTCAGTAAATGTGCAAAATAATTTTTTTTAACCCAAGAATGGAGTAGCTACAGATCCACCAAAGAAATGTCTAGGAATTCCAGAGGCAGTTTACATTGGCAAGTTTGAATTGCGTTCTGCCCAATGCTATCTTCAAGATCCATTTTCAGAACATTCCCTCCCCCCACCCCCAGTCCTAAAGAATATTTGGGGTAGGTAGTGTTACCACAGACAACCAGCTTTTTCCTTTTCATAGGTTCATGCCCATAGTTAATCTCAAAACTTGCCTCAGTGGGCTTTTCCTTGGAGGCTGATGGCATGCTTCCCAATCTGATAACCAAAAGTGAAGTCACACACATGGGGTGGTCCCCAGGTGAAGTCACACACATGGTATGGTCCCCAGGTGAAGTCACACACATGGGCTGGTTCCCATGTGAAGTCACACACATGAAGTAGTCCCCAGATAAAGTCACATACATGGTATGGTCCCCATGTGAAGCCACACACATGAGGTGGTCCCCAGATAAAGTCACATACATGGTATGGTCCCCAGGTGAAGTCACACACATGAGGTGGTCCCCAGATAAAGTCACACACATGGTATGGTCCCCAGGTGAAGTCACACACATGAGGTGGTCCCCAGATAAAGTCACACACATGGTATGGTCCCCAGGTGAAGTCACACACATGGGGTGGTCCCCAAGTGAAGTCACACACATGGGTTGGTCTCCAAGTGAAGTTACACATGTGGACTGGTCCCCAAGTGAAGTTACACATGTGGACTGGTTCCCAAGTGAAGTTACACACATGGAGTAATCCCCAGATGAAGTCATCACACGGGCTGGGATCCAGGAACCATTCTCAGGTTACCAGCCTTGCTCTGCACGCCCCTTTACCCATTGAACCACCTCAAAAACTCAGAGGAGAGTTCTGAGCACACATCTCAAGGAAATTTACTCTACTTGAATTCCAAATCTATAACCTCACGGACCATCCTTTTCTTTGGTCCAACCATCAGGCACAAAAATAGTCAATGCCAGGTCAGGGGGTCTAGGGAAGGTTCTCTAGAGCAACAAACGGCCCCGTAGGCTGCTGGGACTGACCTGGGAATCCTAGGACTGGCTAGCTGTCAACAAGATTTTTTTTTTCTCAAGAAACATAAAGCAATGTTTATTTCTATTCGCCTCAGACAGTGAGGGCTTTTGTAGATTCTATCCAGTCCAGCCTGGTAAAACAACATGCTCATTGGTGTTATCTACAGGAGCCTGGATGGCTCAGAGGCAGTCACACCACCAAAGAGTCCCACCTCTTATATAACCTTGGTGAGCCTCTCCAATCCTCGCATGAGGGAATGTTTATAGACCTGGTTTGGTAAGGGTCGTCTACTAGTGGTCACAGTTGCTATGGTTTAAGACATCTGTTATCATGCCTAACCCAGAGGAAGCAGATACACAGCATTAACTGTGAGCCAAAAGCCGGGAGGCCCACCTACCTTTGTTTCTACCATCCCAAAAGGGGAATGACTTAGGGGCAAGTTGTTGGGGCAAGAAAAGATTCATCTGGAAAACCAGAGAATAAAGAGCACCTCGGGTATCTGAAGGGTTTAAGGAGGAGAGGAAGGAACAGGGCATAAGGAAAAAAAGACAGGATTCCAGAGACTGCTAGAAGCTAAGCCAGTGGCCTATTATCTTAGTCACTCTTACATGAGGTAAATTTAAGAGAAATCGACTTTGTATTACAGTTTCACGTGAAGCGGTTCTCAAATGGTTAATATCAAGAGTTTAAAGTTGAACAGAAATCTGACCCAAAGCTTAAGGGGGCAAAGGAGACAGACAATGTGCAGAGTCAGAGATGTCAAGCATTTCATCTTGTTTTAGCGGCTCACCAGACCTCTGCAGATCCAAGCAGAGCCAGTGCTTTTAGCAAAAAGCTGAGCCTGGAGAGGTGGCACACTCAGCTGGTGTTACGAAACCCAAGTTGGAGGCGTTGTCTACGGTGACTTAGTGAGGGACTAAGGAGACATTGCTCTGCTTCATGATCTCCAAAATTAGTGACTTTAGAAGTCAGCTGAAGTAAATGGAGGCTAATTTGTTTCCTTAAGATAAAAGATAGAACTTGCCAGGAGGTGGCGGCAGCGGTGCATGCCCAGCAGTACTCGGGAGGCAGAGGCAGGTGGATCTCTGAGCCCAAAGCCAGCCTGGTCTACAGAGTGAGTTCCAGGACAGCCAGGAGAGTTGCACAGTGAAACCCTGTCTCAAATAAAATAAAATAAAAATTAAAAAAACCAGAACTTTCGAATAGAGCTGCTAAGGCAGAGAGGCTTAGCTAGGAGACCTCCTCACTATCAACCCAGAGCTGGAGGAACTGGCTCAGGGCAGCCTCTCTCCAGCGCTCTTCCTGGCCAGGGTCTTCTCCAACAGACTCATCCAGGGTCCGAGGACACTGCAGTAGGCATAATTATTCCAAGAAGGGAGTCCTTATTTCTGTCTGTGCTGAGCAAATGTTAGCCCCATGTAGATGCACACACATTTGTAAGCGGGAATGTAGGTGGCTCACGCCTTTAATCCTAGCATTCCGGAGGTAGGTGAATCTCTGTAAGTTTGAGGCCAGCCTGACCTACGAAGTGAGTTCCAGGACAGCCAGAGCTGTTACATAGAGAAACCCTGTCTCAAACAAACAAACAAACAAACAAAAACAAAACAACAAACAAAAACCAAGCAGGCGTGTAGGCACGTACGTACGGACAGGGGCCCAGGTTGGAGCTGAACTGACGGTTTCATCATCTTTCATCTGCCTTCAACTTTCAGGGGAAGATGGAGGCTTCCTCCTTATACGGCTGAGTGTAGCCTCCCCTGAGGACTTCACTGAGCCCAAAGCCGTAGAGAAGCTGATGGACCAGGTAAGTGGTATGTCAGGCATAAAGTGGGGTGCTCTCGGGGACTCCAGGGAGCATCTGCAGGACACAGAAGGGTGACTACTACATGAAACAGTGTCACATGAAAGAGCATTAGGAGCTGATCCTGGGGCCCATGTCTGGCTTTGATCTTGCCTTGCTTCTCAATTCTATATTGTGAATGTGACGTGTATGAATCTCCCCACCTGCAGATCCAGCTTTTTCAGGTTCTGGAAGTGCAGGCCTTCTGGCCTTTGAATCCCAGTGACATGGATGGGAAAGTAAGCAGAGGTCTTGGTTGCAAGCAGCAGCAGCCACCAGGTCATGGTAGTTTACATGGAAAAGGCAGAGTCTGAGAAATCTGCAGGTGGCTCTTCTGCCATCACATATGGCTGGAGCCAGCAGTGGAAATTAGTCATGGGTATTTTCTCTGCAACTCTGGGCCCTTTATTCTTCATGGTCTTTCTCCATGCATATGGAAGGGGGCTATCACAGAGGAAAAAATGAACACAAACATGTTTACTACTCAGCAGCCTACTTCTCCACTTTCATTTATTTTATATTTATTTTGAGACAGGGTTTCTCTGTGTAACAGCTTTGGCTGTCCTGGAACTCACTCTGTAGACCAGGCTGGCCTAGAACTCACAGAGATTCACCTGCCTCTGCCTCCCTAGATCAAAGGCTTGTGGTACCACCACCTGGCCCTTCTCTACTCTTACACAGTCCAGTACCCAAACCAAGGGAACGGTGCCACCAATGGTGGGTTAGGTCTTCCCGTATTAAATAACTTAAGACAACCTCCCATAGACAGGCCAAACTGATCCACACAATGCCTCGTTGAGACTCTTCCCAGGTGATTCTAGAGTGCATCAAGTTGACAAAACCGACCTCACAGCCACCATGACTGACATCCCAATAAACATCACACGGATGGGAAAGGGTATGAAGTAGGGATGCTAGATAGAAAACCCCTCGGAGATGTGCTCCAGACAGGGAGGAAGATGGTGATGCATTTGTATACCAATTTGGAGAAATCCTCTTAAGTCTAGGCTATTTGTGAAGTTCTGGGGTGAAGGCTTTTGGGGGTGCTGTGAATGAGTGGAAGCTAGACTGGGTCAGCTCAGTATAAATGCCATAGGCCTAGCTCAGTGCAGGTTTTATGAAGTGTCCAAGCTCCACCCGTATTGTGAACAGTGAGAACAGACCTGGGGTACCACCTAAGACAGACTGCTCCTTCCACCCTGTTCCATCAAATGCCTCAGCCAGAGGCAGTCAGACCCTGTCACAGTCAATGGGGGTCACAGTAATGCAGGCTCCATGTTACCTCTTGACAGAACAGACCTGAAAGGGAGGCTGACAGACAGCCTTGTGCCGTGGGTAAAGTCCTACAGCCAGGATAGACAGGTGAGGTGATCCATTAGCAGACGGGAGTGGGTGGTACCCCTGCAGGTAGGATCCCTCAGGGAAGGCAAAAGAGGCCCGACATCATCACTATCTGGTCCTGCCTGCCTTCTTTAATTTTTTTTCTATTCCCTTTTCATATTGTAAATAAGTCTCCCCACCCCCACATCTAGTTTTTGTTTTTATCTTATTCTATGTGTATGGATATTTTGCCTGTATGTGTATCTGTGCATCACATCCATGCCTGGTGCCCGTGGAGGCCAGCAGAGGGTATCAAATCCCCCAGGATTGGAGTTACAGATGGTTGTGAGCCACCGTGTGGGTGCTGGGAATCAAACCCAGGACCTCTGCAAGAGCAACCAGTGCTCTTAACCACTGAGCCGTCTCTCCAGCCACAGATCCGATTTGTTTCATGTCTTAGATGTCCAGGCTTCTAAGAAGTCAAGTGACATTGACAGGGAAACAAAGCAAAGCTCTCGGCTGCAAACGTGGGGAGGGAGGACCCCAGATGCACAGAAGCAAAGGGATGACAGAAGAGCAGCTTTGAAAAGGCATGGGGACATGCTCCCTGGGATGCTGTCCCCTTGCTGGTCACTGTCAGAGGGCATCACACTCCATGTGCGTCACTGGCACTTCGCCTTTGGTTTGCTTGTTGCGGGGTCAAAGTTCGGAGCAGGAGCATGCAACTGGCCAAGCCTGGCTCTCATACCCACCACTCACTCCCCTGGGATATCAGGGGGGAAGAAATATCTGGGTCTTCGAAGTCTCTTAGCAGCAAAGAGGCCCATGGGGACTACCCTCATGAGGATTTCTGTCCACAAGTCACCCGAGTTTGACCTAGGACAGACAAATAGATGAACATGTCTCTGTCATGAACATCAAAGTAGGAAGCATGGATCCTCATGGGAGGGGCAGGCCACAGTGGAGCATAGATTTGATACCTGGAATGGCAAATATTTCAGGGGTCAGAAAGCAGCCTGGAGCTCAAGATTGGGTCAGGCCACATAAGGTTGCCACTGATTTATTATTATTATTGTTGTTGTTGTTACTATTATTATATTTTATTCCCTTATTTTATGGAATTTGTTAAGCGTACTGATTTTTGTTGGGGTCTGGCCAATGGTGTGAGGCACAGGAGTCAGGCAGATCTGAGGGTGGGTTCTAGTTAGCTGTTTGAGCTTGGGTAAGTCAGTCCATACCACTTCACCCTTTATGGACTGCAGATGAGAACGCCTGCTGTATGTTTTAAATAGCCCCTGTTATCACACTGCTGATGTCCCTCCACTGCCCCTTCCTGTCCTTGGCCTACGGTGGGCTCCCGGGCAGGCAGGCTGACACCTAATCTGTTCTTTTGCTTTCCAGCTCAGCTGTGAACTGCGCACCCACATGCCACTTGTCCAAGTGTCCTTACTGAGCGTCAGAAGGGGCTGAAGAATGTTAGCTGCAACCAAGCATGTCCTCTGTAGCAGAAGAAGAGTAATGCTGCCTGTGGCCCGGACCCCAAACAGACCAAAGCCGTGGTACTGTGCTATGGACCCACAAGGTTCCCATGAAGGTCAGCTGGCCTGAGAACCCTGCCCCATACCTGACCACAAGGCCTTGGTCCACTATGCCTGAGTGTGTGTGCAGGGGGAGAAGGGCTGGCCTGTTTCCAGTGGTGTCCTTCACCACCTCTGACTGGTTATTGTATTTCAGTAAAGAGAAAGCTGACCACTCCACCTTGTTCTTCCATTTTGTACTCATGACACTCCAGGTGACCCAGAGATTGTCTGTATTGAGCCCGCATGCCTTAGATGTTTTTATTATGTGGGAATTTGGGGGGTGCTTTCCTGTGGCCTGGTTTGCTTTGGCGTTTACTACGACTTGCCCTGGAGCCTGATGAACCTGAGCTCTGTATCAGTCAGCTCATTGTTGCTATAGCAAAACAGAAGCTCAACAACTTGCAATGAGAAAAAGCTTATTTCTGCTCACAGTTGAGAAGGTTCTGGGTCAAAGTAGGGCAAACCCATTGCTTTGGGCCCCAGGTCAGGTCAGCATAGGGCAGCGACCCACTGTTCTGTGTATCAGGTGGGGGTGTCAGGGGACAAAGGTGGGCAGCACCTAGCAGAGCCAACTTCCTGTGCCCAACAAAGGAAGAGGAAGGAGCTGGGGTGCCGAATCCCCTTCAAGGGCACATCCCCAGTGACTTAAGAATTCTCTCTAGCTGGAGACATGGCTCAGTAGTTAAGAGCACTGGCTGCTCTTCCAGAAGACCCTGGTTCAATTCCCAGCACCCACATGGCAGCTCACAGCTGTCTGTAACTCCAGTTCCAGGGGACCTGATTCCCTCACACAGACATACATGCAGGCAAACACCAATGCACATAAAATAAAAATAAATAAACTAAAAAAAAAAGAATTCCCCTCAGGCTCCATCTCCTAAAAGCCCCACCTACCGAGGAACTACCCTGGGGACTAAGCCTTCAACACAGGGACCCTTGAGACACATCCAGGTCATAGCGAGCTCCTTCAGGGCAGGGATCATATTTGTTGATCTCAGATCCTTGAGCCTGGAGAACCTGGTCCTAGTGAGGGAGGGCCACGGAGAGTGTCAAATTGATTTAAATGTCAAGTTGTGGGCTCGAACAGATTTCAAAGAACGTCTCTAACATGCGGTTATTCCTGCCATAGCTCAGGCTCACCTGCCGTTATTTTAAAAGTAAATGTAGTTTGTTCTTCTCTCGTGAAAGTGTAACTTGCTTATGATTTTTAACTTTTGGAAAACCCCAAAAAGGAACCAGAAAGAGTAGAGTAGAAATAGGAGGTGAGGAGAAGGGGAAAAAACAAATAAACAAACCTGAAATACCAGCTCTCCCTGAAATACCAGCTCTTACATACGGCAGCGTTAATGCGTCTGTCCAGTCGCTCTCTCGGCCGCCCACATGGATGAGGAGACACTGTACACTCAACGCTCCCAGATTTGAAGTTCTTAACCCACTTGCTGCATCATCCTCAGCTCAGGTCATTCCACTTGCACCCTTCAGCGGCTCCAGCCCCAATTCTTGGAACCACTAGTCCTTCCCCTTTGTCTCTCACGTTTTATACCAGAAAATTCACCCGGCTTCTCTTCCTCCAACAGTGCCCAGCACCTGGCACTCCCCACATACTGACCATCTCCGTTGCCATCACCCAGGTGGTATGAGATGCCACCATCTCTCACCTGTATTACTCCGGCCTCCCTGTTGGTACCTGTGCCCTGCCCCCCCAACACCCAGTCGGGTTCCCAGACATTACCTGGAGATGTCCTTTCATAACATACAGCAGGCCTGTGCTTCATTTGCTCCCATTTCACTCGTAGGAAGAGCCAAGTTTGGGCAACGGCCTGTAGAACTGTGAATGATGGGGGACTGTGAATGATGGGGGACTGTGAATGATGGGGACTGTGAATTATGGGGGACTGTGAATGATGGGAGACTGTGATTGATGGGGGATGTGAATGATGGGGGACTGTGAATTATGGGGGACTGTGAATGATGGGGACTGTGAATGATGGGGACTGTGAATTATGGGGGACTGTGAATGATGGGAGACTGAATGATGGGGGTGAATGATGGGGGACTGTGAATGGGG